AGCATCTATAAATATATTAAGTCACACCAGAATGGCCTTGCGCACAATGAGCACTCCAATCTCCACATCTTTCTTCCAGAGCAGGAAGAGAGGTGCTAGTCACGTTTTGGAAGCAGGCCATGAACTCAGGCCTCAGAACAATCGGTCTTCTCACTCCTCAAACTGAGGGCTTGCTTCCCTAGTGGGAGGGGTGACACAGCTTAATCCCAGTTATGCGAGAAGGCTGACAAGATTAGCACACAGACCACCAATCAGTAGTAGAAATGGCTTTCTTTTTTTTTTCTGAGAAGTTTTATCAGGGGAACCAGTTATTAAGTTATACACAAAAGTCAGGCTTTTTAAAAAATGTTCCTTTTTCTTGTCTCTAAACACTTGAGTCATTGTAACTAACTCATCCCCCATGACTTAGCCCAAACCTTCTAACTAAGGCAAATAGGTCAAGCATGTTCTGGAAAACACTAATTTTGCCTAGCTAACTATCTTTTATTCTGACCCTCTTACCTCTATTTCTATCCCATTATGCAACCCTACCAGGGCCATTTCATCACCCCCTACAATGTGAAACGCCACTGTGAGGATGGGCCTCTCTAACAAGGGAAGGCACTTCTCACACCCCTTGCAGCACCCCACGTCTACAAACATTTCTTGTCAGGGAATCATACAATTTTATTATTTGTAATTGTGATATAATTTAAAGAGAAAAAATATATACAGCATATAACAAACACCATATACCTAATACTCACCTTTAACAAAACTTATTATTTGGTGATGTTTCAAATAACTTTGGTAAAAAAGGAATAAAATATTATAGATACAGGTGAAACACCCTGTTTCCTCTGCTCATTCCACTTTTCTTTCATCCTTGTCATAAACAAGAACTCTACAAAGTTTGACTTTCATTAAATATATATATATATATATGCATAAACAACATATAATATTCTCTGCATGATTAAAAACTTTATATTAATGGTATCAAACCATTTAATTTGTTATGCAACGTGTACTTTTTGATCATTTAAAAAAAACTCCTATGGAAAGTTTCAAACATATGCAAAAGTAGAAAGACTGCTATAATGAACTCCCATGTACTCGTCATCCAGCCTCATGACCAATCTCATTATATGTACATATAAATAACTCTGTCCCCTATCCATGCACCACCACCCCCAATTACTCTGAAGCAAATCCCATAAGTGCAAAACTTTTAAAGATCTAGTTTCTTCTGGAGCCAGCTTTCTCTCCTAGGCAGAATGGAGTGTGGGGGAGGGTGGAGGGGAATTCAAATACACAATTTGGTTTCAACCATTCTAACAATCATAGCTCAAATTACTGGCAAATGGATCCAATAGGTCAAAAAAGAACACTAGTTTTGGTTAGGGCCCAGCAGTTGAAGCATAAGCTTTTCCTTTCCCAGTGGCTTTAAAGCAGAGAGGAAGTCATCCCTGAATCTTTCCATTGCTTACTTTATTCAATCCCAGCTCAGTCTTCTTCCTCAATACTTGAACTGCTCAAGAAAATATCCTTTGTCACCTAAAAGAAATGCTATCCTCACTCTCCCTAACATACTCAATACCTGAACTGCATCTCTAAATAAATTTACACACATAACAGAAGTTGCTAATGCTTACCAAGTGCTTCTTCGTAACAAAGAAGGATACCTTTTTCTGCATCCTTCAGGTTGCACTATTAATTCATTTTATAGATGAGGACACTGTGCACAGAGAAGTCCCCAAAGATCAAATAGTTTTAATTGTGGAACCTTATATTAAACCCAGATGGACTGGCTCCACAGTCCACCTAACAACCCACACCTCCTTCTTAGCAAAAGTTCCCAGTGGAACATAAAGAAGCCATAGACTTGAGGAGTGTTTGGAGACAATCAAAACTCCTTCAGCAAGTATGTGATAAAAACCTGAGAAACTGAGCCTAATCGAAGGCTGTCTGCTGCTCTGGGCAATTGGTTCTCAGCTTGATGATTTTCAACATTTCCTTTTAAGTGGTAACAATCAAATTGACTTCTATGCAAAAAAAAAAAAAAAAAGGTAAAAAATAGTACAAAGGTAGACAAAAGCCATTCATCAGTCCAGCTTCCCCTCTCAACTTGACTCTCAACAGCCACTTACAACAGGGAACTGAAAAAAGAGTAGATCATGCTCTTAATGCCCCCAAACATGTGACCTTCCTTCATCTTGAGAATGTGGTATCACCATATCAAAGAGCTCATTGTACTGTATGCACAAAGGGGGGGTCAGAATTATAATGACCTAAGTAGTTGACCTTCAAGCAATAAATGCATCAAAGCTTGATCCCTAATAATTTTTGGTCATTTGCAACAGAATTGGTTTTTAAAGAAGAAATACCATTTTTCTTTTATGAATGAAATCCAACGTTTTAGTCAGCAGCTTCTTAGGCTATAAATATCTTAACTATTACATTCTTTATGAACACACAATCTTAAAAAAAATCAGCAGATAAAACCTTCTCTTGTATGTGCCCACTTACCAACCCCCCCGCCCTACCCCCTGCACACACACCTTCCCAGAGTGCCTGAGTGAAAGTTCCTTACAAAGGGGAGCTAAAGGTTTGCCCCTTTGTGATCATACTGAGACAGGGCAAGCTAGGGTTATTAGGCAGTTTTAGGTATAGTGCAGGAGGGGGCCTCTGAAGAAATCAGGAAGGCTTCAGAGATAAGGATAACCAAGGAAATACAACCAATTCCACTGGGAAAAACAAACACCATTGTTAAACACTAGGGGAAAACAAACATCCTAGCACCACAGGTAATCTTGTTAAGGATGGTCCTGGTTTTCTTCAGATGAGAAGATGAAGTGTAAAGATATTCACCGGGAGGGCTAGACCATAAAGGTAAAGCGATAAGCATAACAGATGGGGAAAGAAAATACTGTTAAGGAATGTGAAATTCCTTGCTTAGTACCCTCTGGGAGTTAACCAATCAGGGAGAGAAAGAGTAAAATTTAAACATAATGAGGGAGAGAAAGTATATATTGCCAACATAATATCCCATACCGGCTCATCTTGGCCCCTCCCAGGTACTTTATACCTGGGAGTCTTTCTTCTTTGTCTCTTTTCTTCCTAAACTTTTTTTTCAAAGACAAGATTTGTCTCTCTCTGCTTACTTACTCCAAAAGTCTGTGAATTCCTTTCTACGGTTTCACGAGACAAGAACTCGTGGTAAAGAGGCAGCAGTTGTTACACACGCCGGCATCAATACTGTTTATTTTCAACTTCTAAAAAAGAGTAAACACCAGTGTCCCAGTACCTTTTATTTATTCAACCAGTATTGAGCACTAAGTATATTACGGCATATTCAATGTTAAAATACACGGAAGAGTTTTTTATTTTGAATCTACTAATATCTTGGATAGTCCCTGTTCTGCTTAAGTTTCTGACTTATGAAGCCTCAATTGAGAGCGTATCTTCTAGCTGAATTTTACTTTCTTTTTTTTTTTTTAATAGAGGCATGTTTTATTTATTTATTTGTTTGTTTGTTTTGTTTATACATGCACTGGGTACAGTCAGAAGTGCGGGAGGGTGAGAGAATTCACCAGAGCGGGGAGCAGAGCAGGCAGAAGGACCGAAGTACACTGCTGAGGGGAGCAGCGGGCGGCAGGAGAGGTCTGCGCGCCATGTGGGACCCTCCTCTGGTGGCCGGGGAGCAGCCGGGGATCGAACCGGCGCCGCCGAGGCTGCGGGCAGCTTCACAACCTAGCGCTCAACCGCTGCGCCACCGGGGAGGCCCTGAATTTTACTTTCTTATGGTAAGTTAAAAAATTACAAGAAATTAGAAGAGATCAGTAAAAAGATTGTAACATAGCAATACTTGCTAATTCATAGGTTTACAGAATAGTTTTATAAATACCACACACAATTTTAGAGCTCCAACTTCATTCTTGATTAAGTGTAAACTTCTCCATCATATTCTTCCCCCAAAGAAGGGAAATAAGGAAAAGAAATATTACAGTGTGGGCCTCCCCGGTGGCGCAGTGGTTGAGCACCGCACTGCGAAGCTGTGCACAGCTTCTGCAGCGCCGGTTCGATTCCCCGCCGGCCAGGGAGAACCCTACATGGGGCAGCAGACCTCTCCTGCCTTGCCCGCTGCTCTCCTCAGCAGTGTCTTTGGTTCATCTGCCTGTTCTGCTCCCTGCTCTGGCTCTGGTGAATTCTCTCACCCTCCCGCGCTTCTGACTGTACCCCAGTTCTTGTATATATTAAAAAAAAAAAAGTTAAAAAAAAAAGAAATATTAGCGTCTATTAAAAGTTTTTTGCACCGTGTTCCATTTCCATGTTCTAAATTTATACAGGCCAGGCAGGATGAGATGGAGAAACAGTCAGTTGACATCCATGGATCTCCAGTTCAAACATGGTGCCAGCTTTTTCTTTTACATTTTGTGTCTGAATAGATATGGGAGGTTATAGGGATATATACAGGTCCTAGCTTGACCCAGAGCATTAAAAGACACCTACAACAATATCATAGTACCTTAAATAATGCAAAAACAGTGAGTTTGGGAGAAATAAAAGTTACTCAAGAAAAAATTATACGGAATAAAACTGGCTGCAGAAAGACCATAGTTGCTATTATATGGGAGAAAGTATTATGCTTCTGTATTTTTCAGAGTGCTAATATTTCAAAGGCCAAAGGTAAGTGTTCTTGATAGAAGAGTGCTTCTATCTGACTGGCTAATTCTTCACTTGCTTGTCCCCGCTACACTTATCCTTTGTCATGCTGCTGGTCATAATATGCTTCCAAAAAGAAATTTAAGGCAGCGAGTCTATGCTGTGTTCAGCTTTGAAGTCCTCAGAGTGCCTGGCACCATGTCTAAACCAAGCTCAGTGCTCACTAGTAAAACTTTTCATTAATTAGATTAAGGCAGCTTTCCCTGGTGTGAAGCAATATGAAGGACACAGCACTGGGCAACTATAAAGGTTGAACCTGAATCTAATCAAACCTGAAGTGCTAATTTCCATTTCAGGAAATTCAAGTGATAGAAGAACAAGATAATGACACCACAAGAAAACAGATATATCCACAATGTGGGACATTCTGCAGGACAACTGACCCACTTTCCACAAGCAGTCAATCAATGGCACAGAAAACCAATGGGGGAGGAGAGCTGGAGGTTGCCCTTGATTAAAAAAGACTTAACATCCAAATGTCGTATGTGGATTCTAACAAAACAACTATTTTTTTAAAAGCCGGGCCTCCCCAGTGGCGCAGCAATTGAGCGCTGGGCTGCTAAGTTGCCCGCAGCCTCTGCAGCACCAGTTGGATCCCTGGCCACCGGCGAGGGTCCCACATGGCACGCAGACCTCTCCTGCCGCGCCTCTCCTGCCACTCCCCTCAGCAGTGAATTTCGTCAGTCTATCTGTTCTGCTCCCCGCTCTGGCTCTGGTGAATTCTTTCACCCTCCCGCAATTCTGACTGTACCCAGTGCTTGCATAAGTAAATAAATAAATCTTTTTTTAAAAAGCCATTTTTTCTATAATTGAAAAAAAATCATTATAAATTGGGCAATAGATCATGCCAATGAAATATGGTACATATAGTAGAGAAAATGAAGCACATAGAGGTGAAAATATGAAAAAAAAAAACAAGGCTTAGGAGTTGTTTTAAACTTATTATGGAAGAAAAAATGATAAATTAAGCAAAGGAAGCAAAAATCTTGGTAACTGTTGAATATATACTCTGTATTTTAAATGTTTGATTTTCAGAATTTTTAAATTGAGACTGAAAGATCAGTGATTTAAAAATATTTCATACATAAGCTAACTAAGTATTTTCAAACCCCCCTGACTACATTCTTATACTTATCAGTTGGCAATCTGTTCACAGATCTTCACACCTAAGATTTGGGGGAAAGAGAAAAAGGGAGTACATGCTGAAGTCTGTTCTTTGACAACTAGTAGGAGACACCCAACAGTCGGTACCTAAGGGAGGACTTGCTCCTGGAAAACATCTAGAAATGGAACGTGTTCACTTCAGAGCTAGTTCATGTCACAGACAAAATCAGTTTCTTTTTCTAGTTACCTCTACTAAAATTTTTTTGCAAGGACAAATAATACTGTCAGATGAATAATAGTAATTCTATAAGCAATGGCCATCCTTAGTCTCTTCAGAAGCCCACTAGCCTGTGTTCTAAACCAGGAAGACAGTGAAAATTCTAGATGAAACTTGGACAGACCATGAGGTCGGCATAAGCATAGCACCATAGTTTTCATAGATTTATTATCCCAAACTAAGGTGCTTGAAGGTAAGTGCCACTTTATTCATAAAAAAGCCTAAAAAAAAAAAAAAACACATAAAAACAAGTAGATTTCTCATTTATCTAATGTGCTTCTATAAGGGAAAAAATGAGTTTTTTAAAGATTATAAACTAACTTTTAAAGAGTAGAAAAATCCTCCATCAACACTATCCTGTTTTCATGTCAACCAATTATGTGTCCCTCTCCTTCCTTCTTTCTCCCCCCTCCGCCACCCCAAGAAAGCAAAACCTCAAACTTCATGTGGATTAAGGGGCTAGGGTTTGTAGACTCGAGGAGAAAATGATCACATGTATAAATCAGGTCCCTAAAGAGAGTGATGGCTGGCAAGAAAGACTGGCACTTTTCCCGCTCGAAGGGTCTACATCATCATTCAAAATTGACAGACTCCAACCATGGAGGGATGGTGTATGTCCTGCTCACCACTGTATCCCCACCCAGATACTCTTTAGAGTGTGTGTAAATAGAGCTATAGTCATCTGTCGTCTCAAAACCACAAGATTTAGAAAATAGCATCACCCATGGTGAAGAATTAAGTTCCACAAATCTATTTTAAGAAAGTAGTACAGGGTTTCCCTGGTGGCTCAAGGGGTTAAGTACTGCACCATGAAGCAATCCGAAGCCTCTGCAGCACTAGTTCGATCCCTGGCCAGAGAACAACCCACATGGCGCAGCAGACCTCTCCTGACTCACCCACTGTTCTCCTCAGCAGTGTATTTCAGTAGATCTGCCTGTTCTGCTCCCCACTCTTTCTCTGGTGGATCCTCTACCCCAGAGATGTACAATTTAATATATTTTAGAAATCATGTCAAAATCAGATAAAGACAAACTTAATAAGTAACCCTTGACAGATGACTACAGAACTGAAACACCATGTGGGGAGGGGTGGGAGGGAGGAGAAAGAACAAAGAAGTGTGTAGGTGGTGGGCACACTATGGTAGTTATTCCTGATGGAAGTACCCCAATATTATCTCAGTTAAAAATAAAAAATAGTATTAAAATGTCTGAAATATTTTATTTACATACAAAATACTATAAACACACACACACACACACACACACAAACTTCTACTCCACGAAAAGCAATAAAGGATCCAAAAGTCCATAATTCTTTTATGTACTCTAATCAATTAACAGACTTTTAGCAATGTTCCTTGAGAAGGAATACAATGACCCTTAATGGCAACAGGACTGAAACAAGGAAGGGTAGCACAATTGGACACTCTAATAGAGCTTTTTCTCCTTTATTTAAAAAAGTGAAACAAATCACAAAAAGTTTGTTTTAGAAAAAATGACAAGACATATGCAAATGAACCTAACTCACAGAAAGAAGTTGGAAATGTGGAACTAGCTGACCTGATAAGGATAAGATAGGCTTAGAGTTGCTTGTTGATTGTGATTTTTACTTTATTATAATTAGTCTTTTTCCTGGTCCCTTATTTAGGTTTTCTAAATTCCTGCTATGAGTGAGACCATCTGGTATTTTTCTTTTTCTTGGGGAGGAGGGAGTAGGATCAAAACAAGGGGCGGTGGGAATTGTATGGGAAATATAACCAATACGAAAATGCATACATTGTGCAAAAATGAAAAATGATGTAAAAAATATAAAATTTAAAAAGTAATAATAAATAAACAAATAAATTATAAATACAATTTAACAAGCCAAAAAAAAAAAAAAGCTTATGTTATGGTTGATTTAGAGAAATGTTAAAAAAAAAGATAAGATAGGCTTTAGTCATAAAATACAATATAATTAACATAAATGGATAAGCAAAGCTGCCTTCAGGTTTCTTCCCACTCCAAAGCACAAGAGCTCAAGCTACTCCTATTAGACACAAATGCCCAGTTGCTCCCTTCTTTCAATCAGGTTCCGAATGTCACCCTGAACACCCAAAATCTTCACATTCCCTAGAAAGCCTCCCAGCCACAAAGAAATCCCTCAGGCACTATCTCCTTCAAATCAAATGTACTCACCTCCACCCCCTCATTTTCCATCTCTGCCCTTTTATCTCAACCTTACCTAAAACCATTTCTACCTAATACCTTCCTTCTCTATCCTACTAGGATTATTTCTTATTCTCTGTTCTTACCATTCTGTCTTCTTTTACCCTTTCTCTTTCCTCTTTTCTCTCTTCATACCTTTCTTACTCTTTGTTTAGAATGTACTATAACTCATACCCCCCAAATTTCCTATACCTTTGTCCCCTGTCCATTCCAAACCTACAGGCTGGGCTCCCTAATGCCATCTGTCTATGACCATACCCAGGAGAAATAATCTTCTCTTGGAAAGTGCCAACACAGAGTTTAAACCAATTATTCCCTCACACACAGAGATCATATATATACTGATCACGTTACAAATTTGTTTAAAGAGCTTCAAGGATGACCTGGCAGTAAGGAGGCCCCTAAGCTTCAGCTAGGCTGTTCCTTTTTCAGGCCCAGAAGTGCAGAATTACATGACCAGGCAAGTAGTTTTAAGTCAATCTCCTGGTCTGTATTTCTAATTCTTTTATCACAGGTTCACCATCAAGGTCATTGGGATCTCTGGATAAAAAATATCTGTGTTCATTGGTTTATAATCTAAATTCCTATCAAAGGTGTTTAAAGACAAGTTCTACTTTATTCATAAAAAAGCCTTAGAAAATCACATGAAGAGTGGATACCTAGCTTATTTAATGTTTCCTTACAGAAAAAAAAGAGTTTTAAAAAAAGATTATAAAATAATAATGTTAAAAGAGAGGTTTTACCATGAAGCAGAAATATAACCTAACGAAAGCTTCTACCTCCTCCTCCTAATCCCTTCTGAAAACAATTATTTGCTTCTAATATTATTGTCCCTTTACTTTACCATGCCATCAAAGTACAACATACTGGATAAGATGGAAAGAAACAAACAAAAAACCTTCCCCTACACTGACACAAACTACCAAATCACTCCCTGCCCAATAGTTCTCCCTACCTTCCCTATTTGATTCCACCGTCTTGGACCTTAAGGCACCCACAGCAAGAAAGTACAGAAAACCATACAACCCTTATTCTGAACTTTACTTGTCTTTCCCACTGCACTGAACTAGGTGGTCCTGGAAGTCCTTCACAATCTAGAAAGCAACTTTGATCCCTCTTCCTTGGGATGCTGCCTGCTTCCTCCTCTATCTGCTCGCCTCACCTGATTGTTGCTGATCATCACCACCACCACCACCAATAATAGATGACTTTTAATTTACTTTTTGCTAAGAATTATGCCAAGCACTTAATACGCAGACTTCAGTTTAACCCTCAAGTGACACTTGGCCTCTGAGAAATAGAGTCATATAGAGACCTTAGAGAACTTGCTCGAGGTTCTCAGTCAGAAAGTTGAGGGATACATACTGGCACTCGAGTCCATGAGATTTTAAAGCCCAAATTCTTAACTATTACATGATCTTAAGCAAAAGCTACCCTCGATACCCCCATGCCAATTTTAGAAGTCCCTAGAGATCGAAAGACCACTCATTGTATGGAAACCTTTTCACCCACCACTATCTCTGCCTGCCAGTGCGAGTGGAGGAGGGAGGAGGTGTCCTCCACACCCTGATCCAGGGTATAGGGTGCTGCTCCACTTCTTTCTAATTAACTGGCAGATAGTGTGGGTTTAAACTCTTTCAACATCTCAGAACCTGCTTAGAATCTTGTTGGAGCCTCCTTCCTCCTGCCTGTCTCCATCTCATGTCCTGGATAAAACAAATGGCGCACCAAAGAGTCATGCACCAAGCAACAAAGCTCCTTGGAGAAACACCACTTTTCCTCTCCACCTCCCCCAATTCTCTCAAATAGAGTTCTTTTCAAAGGACCACCCAACTGTCCTGTCTTTGCTAGTTCTCTTGTGGGAGAGAAAACATTTAGAAAATAGGTT